GGTCCTCTATATGGCGGAGGCCCTCCAGGTCCTCCATGCGGCAGAGGTCCCCCAGGTCCTCCAGGTCCTCCAGGTCCTCCAGGTCCTCTTGGTCCTCCCATTCCTTCGTGGTCTTCAGGTGCTCCTTCACTGACAATATAATTAACGAATCTGGCAGCATGGTAGAGCTAAATTAGGTTGTTACTTTGAGCACTTCATTTTTGTAATTTTTCAACTTACGGCAGGATTTTCTTGGGTAAGTTTTTTGAGAGCCTCCAAAAACTGTTTAGGAGTTTGATCTTCGTTATCCACAATTTCGTACCCTTTCTTTACAGCTTCAGGAAGCTGAGCGATTAGTTCAGTAACATTCTTTCTGATTTCTTCCTCCAACTTAGCCATATTATCATCAAATTCAGCAATTTGGTCCTAAAAGAATGCATTTCTTCAAGGAGATGTCTAGTAAATTACTTTAACTTACTGCAACTCCATATTTTGCTCCCCAGACATAAATCTGATCCTTTTGTTGGGCAAAGGTCAAATCCATATTTTCGAGAATTGAAAAATATTCCTCTCGAGCCGATTCGCTCACATCTTCAAGAAATGGTATTTCGCCGGCCCTTTGTGCGAGGATTACAGCTCCAGTTATGGCTAGGACCGCTATCGTCTTGTTCATGCTGCAATTATAGAAAGCGTTTTCATGTATCCATCCCATAGGATAAGATAGGTTAGATGGGAAGTTTTGAAAAGTTAATAAAAACTAGTGAAAAAAAGATTAAGAAAAATTGGTAAAACTTCTGAGCATATTCTTTTGAATTTGAACGATATTAGGACTTATACTCTGCCTCAAGTAGCGTTCTATAAAAAGTAGCTTGTTGTTATGATATAGCTGAGAGTATGTATTATAGCAGAGTATACTATACTATAGAACAGAAAAGCCAGTTGCAAATTAATAAGTACCATCAAGTAAAACATGTGAATCAGTTATGCAACTATTTTAGTTGTAGTCGCTTTATCAACATATTTTTAATGCAACACTTTCAAAAACGTTGATATAAGTGTAAACAAACGTGACTTCTTTCAAAGCGTTTTCCTATATTCCACTAGATTGAGCAGCACAGTTAAAAATGCATTCAAACGTCCAAAGTAAGTTAGTACTGGCTCTATTAAGGAGTATATATATTCATAACAAATTCTTTGGTTCTATTCGAAGTTAGATTTCTGGATTTTGTTAATCTTCATAGTTAAGAAAAAGGCATTCTAAGAACATATGAGATCCTTGAAAACCTTCTAAGATCAAGGATAGGGAAAAAAGATTAACTTTAGAAAGGTTTATTGATTAATGCGTGCCACTACTATAAAGGTTTAAAAGTGTGGCAAATTTCAACAGCTTTGAGCATTATAAGTTCCAATGTTTTATGAAAAAAAGCTTTGAACATTAACACGTATGATGCATAGCATAAATAGGAGATTAAAAGCAAATCAGGAAATTCAATGCTCATACATCCATACTTTAAAGAAATGGCCAGTAAAAGTGTCTAGTACGGTATTGGATAGTATTGACAGTTCCATTTATATGTCTTACGATTAAAATT